GGCGTGGCCAAGGGTCCACGCCTAAACCTCCCATTCCCTTCCTGACAGGGGCCTTTCAGTCCCTGAGTTACCACTCTGTGACACTCACCCTGAAGGAGAAGGCGGCCAGTCGCCCCCAAGGCTCCTTCGGTCCCTGAGCACACACTCTGTGAGACTCACACTGGGAGGGAGACCCTTTCAGTCCCTGAGTGAGCAGCCAGGGCGAATCACAGTGGAGGAGTCAACAACGCTCAATTACAAGCCTCCTCCGGTGCCCTAGCTGAGTCACAAAGTGGAAGGGAATCCTTTTGAATCGCTTCCCTCCCAACTTCATACCCTGAGAAATAATGTCAGCTGCAGCCAGATCTCTTGGAACCAAAAGTAAACCTGGTGACGCAGTTTAACATGAGATATTGCCATCTCAATAAATTAATAACTAGTTTTTTGCTAGGGTGAGACATTATGTCCTCGAACTGGAAAATAAATCTGTGTGACCCTTTTAAATTCTAGATGTGGCCATTGAAACCTGAGTAGATTTCTTGCCTGGCTTAATTTAGGCATAAGGGTCGTTCTTAGAACCAGAAAGCATCTCAATGGCCCTTTTTAATGCTGGGTGTGCCGGTGATTGATAAAAGATTTCTATTTGGAATAATTTTATCCACGCCTGTTGTTTAAAATGTGTAAGTTATGTTTTGACTGATAAATGTTAAACATGACACACAGTATGGCGGTCACCTCAAGAATTTTGATTTCTTTTGTCACACAAATTTGTCTTTTTGTTCCTGAAATTTCTGTTTGACATGTATTTTTTGTAATACAACTGAGTTTTACTCCTGATTTACTGTTTAGTTGTGATGCTTATGGTAGACAAGTTTTATCTTTTGCCTGTTTTTATGTATTCTTTCTTATCACCACCTTTTCACCAAGAGATACTTGTTGTGATATTTATGTATTTGAACACTGAAGTTGTGTTTTCTTTCTTCTGAGAAAAATCTTTTGAGGACAACTATGGTTCCTTTTACACCTCACCTTTTGTCAAAAATGTCATTTTAAATTAGTGAACTATTTAACCCATGGTATTTTATCATTGCTTTTGTAATTTTTATGTGACTTTTTATCCTTAAAATATTGGATTATGCTTTTATGTATCTGTAAGACTGTATTATGTTTTGAATTGTTGAACAAACTGTTGCAACTGGGTAGCGCTTGGAAGATATGATGCAGCACAATAAAGTATTTTTCAAGTCTTCCTTCACTACATTTGGGATCCTGCAGTCAGGAGCTTGGACCTGTTGGGCACCTTGTGCTCCTGCCCTTTGCCGAAGTCACTGAGGATCATCTTTCGTAAGGATTTGGAGGTTTGGTATATTCAGAAATGTCCTGTTCTACCAAAATAAACTTCCAATGAAGTTTTTTGTGCTTTACATAACATTTTAGATCTCTCTCTCTCTCTCTCTCTCTCCCCCCCTCTCTCTCTCATCTATTATCTATCTCACCTATTAGTCATCTATATCAGACACAAGGCCCGGGGTCCGGATGCGGCCTGCGAAGTGATTTCATGTGGCCTGCGAAGCCATCCTGGAAACTGAGGGAACGGCCCCCGCCGCCTTGGCCCTGGCCCAGGCCGGCTGGGAGCCAATGTACAATTTTGTGGTGGCCATCTTGGCACTTGCCCCAGTGGACCATGCCTTGGCACTTGCCCCGGTCCCACCCCCTTCTGCCAGAGACCCTCAGATCTGTCCCACTCCTGCCCAGGCCCCCATAGGCACCCTTGACGCGGCTGATGTAGAACTGGCCACGCCCACCCAGCAGGCCACACCCACTCCATCCACGCCCACCCAGTAGGCTGCACCCACTCTGGCCACACCCACCCAGCCCCCAGAGCAACCGCAATGCTGATGCGGCCCTCAATGAAATTGAGTTTGACACCCCTGGTCTAGGGTTTCCTACCTGGGCAGGGGGTTGGACTAGAAAACCTCCAAGACCCCTTCCAACTATTCTACTCTTCTCTACTCTACTCCCATTCCCATTCTACATAAAGCAGTATTTCTCACCCGTTGCAACTTAAGGATGAGGAAGCCAGTTTCACTTAACCCGGTTACTAACTTATCAACTGCAGTGATTCTTAACGACGGTTGCAAAAAGAAGTGGTAAAATGGGGCTAAACTCACAAGAGTTGTCTCGCTTAGCCACTGAAAATTTGGGCTCAACTGCAGTCCTAAAGTGAGGCCTGCTTGTCCATGCCCGAAATATGCAATTCTGTGTTAGGATGCTATGATGCAATGCAAAGAACAGCCGACATCAACTTGTTTTCCGTTTATTTTTAAGATAGCAAAAGGAGAAAGAACTACACTGAGCCCGTCACCCAGGACAGGTTGGTGAGAATTTGCCATTTATGGCCAAATTTCAGTGCAATTAATCATTAGCTAAATTATCTAGTACAATTCATCAGCGGGCTTCACAGTGTAGGAGAAAAGGGTGTGCTGATTTTCTTGCTAATCCTTGCTACTATATACTTATTTAATACAATGTAAAGGTTCACCCAACTCCAGGTAAATTTGGATGGCTTCCATTAAGAAAAGTAAAAACTTTAAAAAATAATAATAAGCACGTGGGGACAGCTGCTCTAAGATCCAAGCTTGTTTTCAGAACTGTACCTTATTTTTATTAAATAAGACCCGTTTCTTGAAACAAGATCTGAAGACCCAGCTTAAATAAATGCCCTGCTCTTCATTTGCTCCCCAATACCTGAACATACTTTGAAGGAAAACCTTATCCCTTGCTTGATTCTCTCCGTCCCCAAAACCCAGCTACGTGGGTGAGGGTCTGTTCTCCTGATCTACACTTAACCAATTTCAGAGTGGATCCTGGACCATGGAGGGAGAGGTAGTGCAAATAGATATAAACCCCGGCCATCTCAAGATGGAGGCGGCTTCTTCTCACTTTTGTAAAGTTTGCGAAGGCTGGAATCCATTAAGAAATCCACGGACCTGTATAACAGCCAAGGAAGAGAGGAGGAATTAAAAACGAGCTTTTTCTTAAGAGGAATTCACCCTTCCAGGAAGGCAAACTTTACCAATATTTTTTTTAAAAAATATCCCACACCTCGTTACAAACTCCAGAATCTGGAAACACAATTTGGCCTACCACAAAGTTCCTTGACCTCGGCAACTTTAAGATGGACTTCAACTCCCAGAATTCCCCAGCGCGGCTGGTGAATTCTGGGAGCTGAAGTCTATACCCTTGAAAGTTGCCGAAGTTGAGAGACACTGCTGCAGTCTGTGTGTGTCACGAGCTCAGGAACCTGAGCATCGCTGCAGTACAGGCAGTCCTTTGAATTACAACGGTTCGTTCAGCGACCGTTCAGAGTTACAACGGCACTGAAAAATGTGATGGGTCAGGTGTGAGTGGCAAAGTGGTTCCTTTTTAATTTGGCCCACTCAGCTCTCCTCCCCTTAACCAAGAGGCTGGCCCAGACCATACCTGTCAATAGGTTTGATGATGAAAGGGATGGCCGTAAGCCCGATGGCCGTCGTCGTCCATTTCCTAGCAGGGAGGGGCCAGTGGGTCAAGCGGCCCATGAGGTAGAGGGACCCAGCGCAGATGCGGTTGATGGTGAATCCAGGGATGGCCACCGAGGCCAAGGCTTGCCAGATGAACGTGTCCACCACAGCCACGGCTGCCTGCGTGGTTCTCCCTTCCTCCTGAGGTGTCGCCTGGCCATCCCAGACAGAACAAACCCCAAACATGGGAAACCGTGAGCGTCACCAACTTAACCATCATCCCGTCACGTTTTAACAAATTCTTCATCTGAAATCGGAGGTTATCAAAGATATACAAAGCATG